GCGATCCATTCTCTGCCCAGCAGCCTGGCAATCCTCTCACCCCTTCCCCAGATCACGTCTCCCTTTGCTCATTCCCTTATGGTGGCTCCCGTGATACCTCTGGAGAAGCTCAAGTCTTCCAGGCCCCTGGCCCTGTCTCCTCCCCAGCCTCATCCCTGCTCGGCTTCCCCGCAGCCGCGTGGTCTCCTTGCTGTGGCTGTGGCTGTGGCTGTGCTTGACTGCCTCCCGCCTCCAGGCCTTTGTCCAGGCTGCCTCCGACTTGAGGGCTGTCCCCCAGACAGCGACAACCCCTCAGCTGACTCTGCCACCCCCTCCCCGTCTCTGCTCAGCATCGTCCTGCTTTTCCTGGCCCCCTATTTAATGTTCACCTGACCCCAGGCCAAACCCCCAACCTTTTCCCCCTTCTTTTTGTTTTCATAGCACTTTTCATCCAACGAATGAGGACGTGTCCTTATGTGTCACCCATGTGGTTTATTGCCTGTTTTTCCCTCTTCTACCTGGGATGTGAGCCTCATGAGGACAGGGAACTTTGTTTTGAGTTTTTTTTTAAGCTCATGTATCCCCATGAGCCTAGCACAGTGCCTGGCACGTAGCCAGCCCTCATTCAGTTCTTGCTGAGTGGCTCCATTCACTCGCCCATCACACCTTTACTCATTCAAGCTGTCGGCCTTCAGGGGGCTGCTTTGTGCCAGGTCCTGGTCTGGATGGGAGAACACAGAGCAGCTGTCTTGGCCTTGGGTGCAGAGCCTGCCTGATTTCCAGCGGGGAGGAGGAGGCAGAGCTGGTAACTGGCACAGGCTACGATGGAGGGCGGGTGGGCAGTGGCAGCTTATGGCAGGGGCACCATATGAGGTGACTGCTCAGCTGAGATCCCCAAAAAGGAGGCGAGAGATGGCCCTCCAAGCATGTGCAAGGGCATGGAGGCAGCCCCGAAAGTGGGCTTTCCAGGACTGGAAGTGGGTCCGTCTGGCTGGGTGCAGCACAGCGGTCCTGGGATCCTATGGCAGGGTGGAGGAGGCGTTGTGGGCGGGGGCAGAGTGTGTGCCAGGGTGGGGAGTGGGGATGCTGGGAGCTGCCAGTCTGGCTGGTACCTTCAGGTGTGGTAGGGAGGATGGAAGGAGGTGGGGCCGGACTCGGGAGGAGTCTGTGAGCAGGGGCCAGGAAGTGGGGGTGAGGATTTGCACTTTCCCGTGGGGCGCATGGGCTGTTGGAGGCTTCTGACTTCAGGGAATCTTCCATCAGCAGTGTCCTGGCCCCATGGTATTCCTGAAGGGCTGGCTGGACAGGAGCCACTGTCTGCTCTGTAGATGAGGCCACTGGGGCCCAGAGAAGGCAAGCTTTGCCTCAAGGCCACCCTGCTGGGACTGGGACCGGGACCCAGATGTCCTGTCCTGGGCCTGTGCTCTGGGCGCTCACTGGGCTGGGGGCTGCCAGGTGTCCTGAGGACTCCAGGGTCCTCTTCCCCTTTTTAGCTGGGGAGCCAGGGCCCTCAATCACACTCGTGGGGCTGCCTGTAGCCTGTTCCCATCATGGCCCATCTGGCTCTTGCTCCAGGCAGAAGGCTTGAAAAGGTGCACTAAGAACGCAGAACCAGGCCGGGCGCGGTGGCTCACGCCTGTAATCCCAGCACTTTGGGAGGCCGAGGCGGGCGGATCACGAGGTCAGGAGATCGAGACCATCCTGGCTAATACGGTGAAACCCCGTCTCTACTAAAAATACAAAAAATTAGCCGGGCGTGGTGGTGCGCACCTGTAGTCCCAGCTACTCAGAGGCTGAGGCGGGAGAATGGCGTGAACCCGGGAGGCGGAGCTTGCAATGAGCCAAGATCACACCACTGTACACCAGCCTGGGCGACAAAGCGAGACTCCGTCTCAAAAAAAAAAAAAAAACCAACACAGAACCAGGTAAGCCCGTCCTGATCCTGAGAGTGAGTGAGAGCCTTGGGGCAACAAGAGACAGGGTGGTTTCATGACTAACTGGGGGTGAGAATCAGGGAGGACTGCCTGGAGGAGGAGGGTTTGGCCGGGGGAAGGTGTGGCAGGAGATGAAGTAGAAAGGATGGTTTGAGGCAGATGGTGACTTGCAGGCAGACTCTCCGCTCTTTCTCTCTGTCTTCTTTGTTTCTGTCACTCCTAGTTTCACTTTCTCCTCTGTCTGCTTTTCTCTTTTCTCTCCCTGCCTCCACCTCCTGTGCCAGGCTCCAGAGGCACTGAGGGTACAGTGTAACTGGCCAACCTGTCTTGGCTAATTACTTGACCGTTGGCATAAAAGGAAGATTAGCCGTGGTCTCTTGAGGTCCTCCCTGGTTCCCTAATCCTGTGGCCCCTCTTCACTGGCGAGGAAGGGATAAAGTCGTTCTAAGTCCTTAATTAGCTAATTATGCTGGGGCTCTGTGGCCCTGGGACTCCCTGGGCCTCAGGGAGGGCTGTGAAGTGCACTGGGGCCCAGCTGGGCAGAGTGAGGCGGGAGGGGAGGAGGGACGGGGCTGCCATTCAGGGAAGCCAGCCGGATAGGTTTGCAGGAGCCTTTCGGAATTTCAATATCCCAGAGAACAAGGGAGATGTAATTAATTGAGCAACAAAGGCCAGCCGGAGGGAACAGCAGGAGTGGGAGTGAAGCAGCCAGGCTGGGACTGTGCGGAGCTGCCTTCTCCAGGCCCTTCTCATCCAGCCTCTTCTCCAGCTGCTACCAGCCCTCTGTGCTTGCCTCCTGCCCTTGTCCTGGCCTCGGGGCTCGCCCATTCTTTTTTGAAGCTCAGAGCTGATCAAGGGCTCTGCCTGCTTAGAAATATGCCAGCAGACCTCCTTGCCCAGACACCCAGCACAGAGCCCCACACTCCTCGGACCCCCCCGCAACCACCCTCAGGAATGATGCCTTTGCCCATACCAGTCCCTCTGCTGGCCAAGGCTTCACATCCTGGAGTCCAGCTCAGCAAATGTGCCCGGAGCAGCCCCACTCCCCAGTCATGGTCCTTTGGCTCAACACTTGATTCCCTGTCCTCTTGCTGCCAGGCTGTGAGCTCTGGTGGCGGGGGGAAATGGGGGTGGAGAGGGTAAAAAATTGGCTCTTGTTTGTCTTTGGATTCCCCATGTGCCCAACGCCATGCCTGGCATGTAGCTGGCATTTACTATGTGTTTCATGAACGAACGAATGAACGAACGAATGGTGGGGCACTAGAAAGGCCTGCAGTTGGCCTGCTTGAGTCAGGGGATTCCTTTGGATGGATTACCCATCCATTTATTGGGCACCCATTCTATTTTCTCCCTTCCCTGTGCTGTACACGCCTCGCCCCCCGGCTTGGGGGTGTAGCGTGGTGGAGGACTGAGCCCTCACGCTGGCCTGCCCCCAGTGGGCTGAAGCCGCCTGCAGGCGAGCCCCACTGTCGTTCCTGAGAGGAGGCTGACCTAGTTTTGTGGAGAGGGAAGATGGGGTGAGCATTAATTATTGATTGGAAATCACTGCACACAGAGTTTGTGATGCAAATTCCAAATAATTGTCCTCATTAATAACCACCTCAGGCTCACCCCTGGCATACAAAACCATCCGGACAGGGCCACGGTTCTACTTGTCACCATCCTTCCATCTTCCTCTCTTCAATCTTCCACTCCCTCCCCATGACTTATCACATAATTCGTTCATGAGTAGTCATTGAACAAATGTTAGGTGAGTCTGTCTTCTGGGCCAGGACCTGCTGGGTTCTGGGAATACTGAGGTGACTTAGACAAGGGTCGTGCCCCCAGAACCTTACAACCTGGTGGAAGAGACAGGAAAGTAGACAGACAACTATACATTAGGGCTAGAAGACGAGATATTGGTATGGATGGAACCTCCTAGGTTGTGCAGTATACAACATGCACAACTGTACATGGCAGCCTAGGCTAGGTCAGAGGTGCTGAGATTGCCCAGAGCAGAAGAGAGAAGGATGAACTCTACCTGTGATGATGTAAGAGTCTGGAAGCCTTCGCAGAAAGAGCATTCACAGGGCCGTGGTGGCTGAATAGGGATTTGCCAGGCAGAAGAGAGGAGCAAGGGTGTTCTGGGAAGAGGGAACAGCAAGGGTAAAAGCACGGAGGTGTGAAATCTTATGGTATGTTTAGGGAACTTCAAATAATTTGGCACCGCAAGGCATAGGCTGTAAATTGAGAGAGGTATGAAGCTAGAGAGGTGGGCAGTATGGACTCTACAGGATCTTAGGGGGAGGGTGTGTACTCAAAGGTGCCCCACCAACTCTTCACCTTCCTTGGAGCCATGGACTGCTGTGTGGGCCTTCTCTGTAGAGCCTATTAGCAGGCCCTTGGCTCTTCTGAAGGTGACTCTGGGGGCTCTGCCTGGTTCTATCATGCAGTGGGAGTGGTAATTCTGGCTGGTACTGCTGTGTCCTGACATGGTCAAGGGGAACAGTGACTGCCCCAGAGACAAAGGGTATTCAAGACACATTCATTGGGCACGTACTATGACCACTCTATGCAGGTGCTGGGCATACTAAGGTGAACCAGCCTCAGTCCCAGGCCACTGAGACAAGGGGGTTGTGAAAAGACACCTAGATTTTGTGTCAAGACACCTGGTCTAAATCTAGACCCTGCTGCCTCTGAGCTGTGTGACCTAGGGCAAGCAGTTTCAGTTCTTTGAGTCTCCAGCTGCCTTCTCTATAAAATAGAAATGATAGTACCAACCTCACAGAGTTGTCATGAAGACTGAAGATCACATTTGTGCAAGTACACAGAAGAGCACTTAGTACATAAAAGGTGCTCCATAAGTGCTTGTTCGTTCACAATCTAGTGTAAGTGGAGCGGGGCCCTGAGCCATCTCCATGGCTTTTTGGGTGGAGGGGCAGATACAAAGGAGAGGGTGTATCTGGCAGCCACTGAACAGGATGGGAACAGCAAGGAGCTGCTGAAGATGCATCCCACTCCCCGTCCCTGTTTCTCTAATCTTGCTCTCTTTCCTCTCTGGGACCTCTGCTCCCTGTCTGACCATCCCTCCACCTTTCCCCCTCCCAGGTATGCGGATCCTGGTGAACCTGCTCCTGGACACGCTGCCCATGCTGGGGAATGTCCTGCTGCTCTGCTTCTTTGTCTTCTTCATCTTTGGCATCATAGGCGTGCAGCTCTGGGCCGGCCTCCTGCGTAACCGCTGCTTCCTGGAGGAGAATTTCACCATGTGAGTTCAGCCCCTGCCATCCATGCAGCTCCAGGGACTCTTACTAAGACACAGTTTTAACCTTCTGGGTCACTGGGAATCAGGGCCAATGGGGTAGAAGCAGCAGAAAAAGAGAGGTCAGGTAGGAGGGGAAAGGGAAGTTAAGACACAAGCAGAAGTGATGCCCAGGAGGAAAAAGAAGACAGAAAACCTGAAGAGCAGGCATAGAACTTGGCTCTCCGCTCACAGCACATTCATTCCCCTTGGTGGCTGAGTCATCCAGGAAGGCTGAGCTCCCATTCGGCCGCCTGTGTATGAAAGCAGGGGGCGGGACACTCCTCCGAGAGAGGATTATTGACACACAAATCAAGCTCTGGCTCTTAGAGGAGCTGGGCTTAGTTGTCTGAAAAATGGGACGCCTATAGAACCCGTGCTTCCGTAGTGGTGGGGGACAAGTGTACGCACACACGTACCTACGCGTATGTGTTTGGACGTGAATATGCATTCATTTCAGATATGCATGGCATGCACCGACTAAGTGCCAGGCCCCAGGGAGTCAGAAACAGGAGAGAATTTTCATCCATTTTCTCACTCCCCTTTGTTGGGCCTGTGCTCAGGTCTCAGGATGCGGCAAAAGAGGGGATCCCTGCCCTTGAGAAGCGCAGGGCTGGGAGCCGATCCCAGACACCTCTAGTGAGTGCCTCTCAGTCTGTCAATCATGGACCGAGGTGACTGTGGGAGGTGTGGGGATGTGGGGACACTGTACAGGTGAGAGCTAGTTTCTCCCTCTCCGCCTGTCTGGTTGGGGAGAGGGTAGCAGAGCTGGAGGGTGAAAGTTGGGTAGGAACGGGCCCATCCACCCATCGCTGTGGGGGAACAGTAGGGTACTTGGGTAGACCACAGCAGGGGCACCTTGGTGGGTAAGGGCCCCAAGTGGGGGTTCAGGAAGGGGGTCTACACTTGTGCCCACTCCCAGAAGGGGCAGGTCCTGAGGCAGGGCCCGGGGCAGTGGGACTGGGGAGAGGCAGCTGCTTTGAAGTCAGGGTAGTATGAGCTCCGCCCCTCTGTCCCACAGGCCTCTTTCCCTGGATCCTTCTGTGGCCGGCCCCTTCTTATTATGTGGGCTCAGCACACCGGACGCCTCCTCCTGGAGGCCTTCCCTCGCCCTCCCTCACCACCCCAGCCCCAAGTTGGCCATCACACAGACCTGCTGGGGTTTCTTCTTGACTCATCTCTCTGAAATCATCTCCTGTTGGTTCATCCAGGGTCTCTGGAGGCCCCTGGAATGTCAGTTCTCTACTGCAGGGGTACCTGGGGCTTGACTCTTCCCAGGATCTAGTGCAGGACTTGGCACAGGTGCTCCCAACTAATTGTTGAAGGAATGAGTGAGTGAGTGGATGTGTGAGTTCATTTCACCCAGAGGCAGGCTGGGAGCGAGGACTGGCTGTTGGAGATTCTGTGTCCCAGTCCCTGATGTCTCCTTCTCTGTGGTCATCCTGAGGCCTCATGAGACAGCCCCCAGCCCTGTCTTGGATGCAATAGGGGAGTTGGAGGGAGGATGCCGTGGACGTGCTTGGGCCGTGTTAAAGAGTAACCTGATCTGGTCCACCCCCATCCCCACCCCAGGAAGGGAATAATAAATATAAAGAAATGTCACTGGAGAAAGAACGCCCTAAGGGAAGATGCTGGGTGACTGCCACGCCTCCCTCTGAGCTCCTGGCCTCATTCTCTTAGGGCAGGTGGTCGGTGATGAAGAAGAAAGGAGATGAGTACAGTTCACGCACATCTGGGTGGGGAGCAAGGCCAGGGTCATTCCAGGTCTGTGACTCCTGTAGAAATAAGGGAGGTTTAGACCTTACCTCACAAGGCTTGTTTAGGACAAGGAGCAGAGAAGTTGGTAACCAGGGTTCACAAAGAGGCAGCAAGATCTCTTCTGGGTGATCAGAAAGCTGGAATTTGAGAAGATCCTAGCTAGGATCTTGGGGAACCAGGCAGGGTCTTGGGCAGGGGAATTCCTCAAAGTCCTCTTTTTGGGCTCTCCCCAGCCAGGCCTGTTGCCTGGAAGCCTCTAGCTCCTGGCACAGTGGGCCCTGTGAGAGGGGCAGAGCTCAGTAGTCAGGGCGGAGAAGGGCCCTTCCTGGGGTGTAACACAAAGAGGTCGGAATTGGGGCCACAGAAAGCCTCAGCCCAACCTGTCACTATGCAGATGGGGACTGAGGCCTAGATGGGAAGGGACACACCCAGGGCCAACGGCAAGGCTTCCAGCAAGCATCCAGCCCCTTCCTGGCTGCGTGGGTGTCAGGACACTGTCATTCCACAAACACTCACCAACCCCTTCCAGGGGCCAGGGCCTATGCTGGGCCCTGGGGATGCAGAGACCCGTTATCTTGGCCACTGTCCTCTGTACTGTCTCACTGGGGAGCTGAATGTGTTGAAAATTAGGCCTCAGGGTGCTCTGGGCTTGGCAGAGTGGGGCCTGGAAGCCCAGAGGGGTTACAAGACCAGCCAGGGTGGGGACCAACGGGGCTTCTTGCTTCACAGAGGACCAGCGGGACTTCTGGCTTCTCAGAGGATGTGACCTTGAGCTGAACCTAAAAGGTTCAAGAAAAATGTCTCCAGGCAGGCGGGGGCACAGGGAGTGGGTGGGGAGGGTATTCCTGATCGAGGCAGCCTCACTGCTACAGCGTGGTGTGTGGGTTAGGAACCCGAGCCCCAGCCTGGCAGTCAGGGTCAAATCCTGCCTCTCTCACTTGGCAGCACTCCTGGGTGTCTACCCAAAAAAGGGATAGCTTATATACATCCCAAGATGTGTACAAGAATATTTATGAGTCATAAGAGCCGAAAAACCAGGAACAACCCCAAACCATCGGCAGAATGAATAAATAAATGGCAGTGTATTCACTCAGCGGAATACTCACAGACGTGACAAAGAAGGAATTACATTTCGCTCTCTTAATGGCGTCCTTTGATGAATGAAACTCTTAGTTGTAATGAAGTCCAGTTTATCAATCATTTTTTTAGCTTTGTTTTTTGTATCCTATTTAAGAAATCTTTTCTAAAGATTGTGAAAATATTTTCCAGTGCTTTCTTTTAGGAACTTTCTCTTTTAAAAAAATCCTTACATGTAGGTCTGTGGTCCGTCTCTAGTTTTGTGTATGGTTTGTGGTTAGAGTCAAGATTTTATTTATTTATTTATTTATTTACTTACTTATTTATTTTTTGACGGAATCTCACTCTGTCGCCTAGGCTGGAGTGCAGTGGCATGATCTCGGCTCACTGCCACCTCCTCCTCCCAGGTTCAAGCGATTCTCCTGCCTCAGTCTCCTGATTAGCTGGGATTACCGGCACATGCCACCACGCTATTAAATGGCTAATTTTTGTATTGTTAGTAGAGATGGGATTTTGCCATGTTGGCCAAGCTGGTTTCGAACTCCTGACCTTAGGTGATCCACCCACCTTGGCCTCCCAAAGTGTTGGGATTACAGGCGTTAGCCACTGCACCCCGTCCCCGTTGGGATCAAGATTTATTGATTTATTTTCAGTGGATAGTCAGTTGTCCCAGGACCAGTGATGAAAAACTCTACGCTTTCTCCACTGAATTGTAGTGGTGCCTCTATGAGACTCAGGTGACCATATGTATTTGGGTTGGATGTGTACATTTTGATTATTGATGGATGTGCCAAATTGCTCTCTAAGAAGGTTGTACCAATGTATACTCCCACAACAGTGTATGTGAGTGTCTGTTTACATTCATTCTTTTCCTGAATATTACCAACCCTGAGATGTTTGCCATTTGGATGGGTGTAAAATGATCTCATTATTTTTTCTTTGCATTTGGTTATTTTGTTCCATTAGTGTTTCTTCCTATATATTGGCCATTTTTTATTTCTTCTGTGAATTTTTCTGTTCTTGTCTTTTGTCCTTTTTTTTTCCCCCAGTGGGTTATTTTTCCTTTTCCTTATTGAGTTACGGGAGATTTTCATATGCTTTAGACCAACAGTCCCCAACCTTTTTGGCACCAGGGACCAGTTTCATGGAAGATGATTTTTCCATCGACCAGAGTTGGGGGATGGTTTTGGGATGAAACTGTTCCACCTCAGATCATCAGGCATTAGATTCTCATAAGGAGTGCACAACCTAGATCCCTTGAGTGTGAAGTTCACAGTAGGGTTTGTGCTTCTATGAGAATCTAATGCTACCACTGATCTGACAGAAGGTGGAGCTCAGGCAGTAATGCTCTCTCGCCTGAAACTCATGTCCTCCTGTGTGGCCCCGGGGGTTGGGGACCCCTGCTTTAGATAGTTACCTTTTATCTTCTTTGTATGTTGCAAATACTTCATCCTATGCAACAGCAAACTATGGCCCGTTTTGGTAAATAAAGATTTATTGAAACAGCTATGCCAACTTGTTTATCTATTTCCTGTAACTGTTTGCAGATTACAATGGCAAAGTTGAGTCATGGGGACAGAGGCCAGGTGCTCTGCAGAAAAATATTTGCTAATATAGCCCATTACACAAAAAGTTTGCCTACCTCTGCTTTATCCCAATTTGTTGCTTGTCTTTTTACTTCGTATATTTTGTCTCAGTGAAATTTTACATTAGTATGTAGTCGATCTGGTCGAACTTTTCCTTTACAAAACTTGGATTTTGTGTCTTACCCAGGAAAGTTATACCTATCTTGAGTTAACAAAAAATATTCCATATTTTCTTATAATGTTTTGGTGGTGATGTTCATTGCATTTATGCTTTTTAATCCACTGGAAGTTTACTATTTTTAGTTTTACAATTTATCTTAATCTACTATATCCAAATATTATTTTTAATGTGTAATCAGTATAAAAATTAAAAATGGGATAATTTATGTCTAGTTTTGGATACCTGTCTTCAGAAAGTTTATTTTTGTGTATGGTGTGAGGTTGGGATCTAACTAGTATTTCCCAAACAGGTAGCAACTATCCTAACACCACTTACTGATGGGCCCCTCCTTTCTCTGCAGGTCTGAAAAGCCATCTCTGTGATATACTAAGTTCCCCTTTGTACATGGGTTTGTCTTTGTGCTCTATGGCATTCCATTAACCTTTCTGTTCGTGTCACAGTGGTACACAGTATTAACAATAGTAGTTGTAGAGCATTTGGCTCTCTTGTAGATCTGGTTTCTGTTTATCTCTCTCCTTTTTAAAACTTGTCTTGACTATTTTCCCATCCAAATAAATCCTAGAGCCATCTGGGCAGGCTCCACAGGCCAAAATGTTGGGATTTTGATTAGGATTGCAGTGAAGCATAGATTAACCCTTCTGGATGGTCAGAGTAGGGATTGTTGTCTGTTTTATAGATGAGGAAATCAAAGTCCAGAGAGGGGCAGCTGGGCTCGGTGGCTCATGCCTGTAATCCCACCGCTTTGGGAGGCTGAGCTGGGTGGATCACCTGAGATCAGGAGTTTGAGAACATCCTGACCAATATGGTGAAACCTTGTCTCTACTAAAAATACAAAAATTAGCCAGGTGTGGTGGCATGCACCTATAGTCCCATCTACTCAGGAGGCTGAGACAGAAGAATTGCTTGAACCAGGGAGGCAGAGGTTACGGTGAGCCAAGATCTCGCCACTGCACCCCAGCTTGGGTGACAGAGCGAGACTTGGTCTAAAAAAAAAAAAAAAAAAGAAACAAAGTCCAGAGAGAGGAGGTGATCTGCCCAGGATCACTTAGATGCAAGTGGGTGGAGCAGATGGAGGATTTACCCCTCATCTGCTGGATTGGTAAAAGCCAGTGCTTGTTTATTGAGCATCTGCTCTGTCTGTGTGAACCCAACAGTGTGTGTGGCCTGGGGATGCTGAAATGTCAAGCCTCCCAGGGGAGTTGGGGGCATCTCCCCCAGGAGCCATAATGAAGGTGTGTGCAAGGCACAGTGAGGCTCCCCAGAGGAGGGGACCACAGTGGGTCAGTGGGGGTTTTCTTGGCCATAGCAGAGATGGGGAATGGTGACCAAGCAGGGGAACAGCATGTGCCAAGGCCTGAAGCAGTGACAAGGCCTTCTGGGCCATCCTGCCATGCTGTATGGCCTCTCCCTTCCTGATCCTCCTGGCAGTGACCCCTCCCCTTTCCCTCTTTTACCTACCCTCGCCTGTGGACAGACAAGGGGATGTGGCCTTGCCCCCATACTACCAGCCAGAGGAGGACGATGAGATGCCCTTCATCTGCTCCCTGTCGGGGGACAATGGGATCATGGGCTGCCATGAGATCCCCCCGCTCAAGGAGCAGGGCCGTGAGTGCTGCCTGTCCAAGGACGACGTCTATGACTTTGGGGCGGGGCGCCAGGACCTCAACGCCAGCGGCCTCTGTGTCAACTGGAACCGTTACTACAATGTGTGCCGCACGGGCAGCGCCAACCCCCACAAGGGTGCCATCAACTTTGACAACATCGGTTACGCTTGGATTGTCATCTTCCAGGTGAGGCTGCTCAGCCTGGGGCCAACCTGGTCCTAGAGTGGGCAGCTCTGCCTGGTGGGCAGGGCTCTATGCTAGGCATTTGCCACCCCCTATCTCACTGAAACCTGCCCAGCTTGCTGGCAGAATAGGCATTATCGTGCCCATTTTATAGACAAAGAACCTGAGGTTCAAAGAAAGGAAGCAAGCTAATTGACCACAGATGATGTGAGTATTAAATGGCAAAACTAGAATCTTAACCCAGCTCTGGGTGACCCCAAAGCCTGAGCTCTTTGCAGAGCCCCAGGTTGCCTTGGGCCATATGGATCCCAGCAGGGAGGGCTGTTCAGAGAGGAGAGGCAGGATTCAAGCTCTGTTGGAGGCATTGGCTGACCAAGGCCAGGATCATGGGGTAGGAGGATATTCCCGGTGGGGACAGCCTGAGCAAAATTCTGGTGCAGGGAGTGCCAAGTAGCTAATCTGGAGTCAGTAAGAAATGTTTCTCGCCTTGTCACCCAGTGCACATAATACACACACATTCACAAAGCAGTGCTAGCCTCATGGTGTGCAAAGCGCTTGTTGCATGGCCCCACTGCACTGACTGTCCTGTCAGCCTACAGTCTGCAGAGGATAGGCTGGGGTTTGTGTAGGGAAGGAACTAGGGCAGTGGACCTTGGTTGTATTGCTTGGCCTCTCTGTGCCTCAGTTTTCTCATCTTTAAAATGGGGTAGTAACAGCCCCCCTCACCTTGGGTGGCTGTTAAGAATAAAGCAGATGGCGCGCTCAGGGCAGCCAGCCCTGTGTGCAGAGAGTGCTGAGTAGAGGTTACCTTTCTGCTGTCCTCGGAAAGAAGGGGCAGGAGCAGACGGGGGAGCTGGGAATTCCCTGAGGGAGTGGTGGGAGGGCCGAACTCTGCTGCCTCCGCTGCCCTGCGCTGCCTCCACTGCCCTGTGCTGCTCTGCACTGCCCTCCGCTGCCCTAGGCACTTTGCTCTGGGGGAGCGTCAGGATCATTTGTTCAGAGCTGCAGGGTGTGAGGTGACGGCAACAACTGTGTTTTGGAACTGTCTGCCCAGGAGGGTGGGTGTCTGCTCTGGGGGTCCCACTCTGTGCATTTGCCAGAAGCCAGCAAGGACCTACAGTTTGTCTTTCCCAAGGCTGCTCCATCCCCCAGTCTGGGAAGGAGTCGGGGTGGGGTGGATGGTGACAGAGTCACACCAGCCTCATCACAGTGCATACTACCAGGCTCCACCGAGCTGCACCCCAGCCCTGCCAGGTGGGCTCCCCACATACAGAAGAAGCAGCTGAGGCTCAAAGAGGGTGGGTGGCCCAGCTGATAAGCTGGAGCAGGGGAAGGCTCCCTGCTTTTCCAGCCCTCCCGCTGGTGTGGTAGACCGGAAGGACCAAGGTTCAAATCCTGGCTCCACCCCTTCCTGGCTATGCGACAGTGGGCAAGTGCCTTCCCCTCGCTGAGCCTCAGTTTCCTCACCTGTATAATGTGATGTGCCTTGTCCAGCCCCTGTGAGAGGGACTCGAGGCAGCACGTGTGATGCGTTCTGGCACACAGTGGGGCCTCTGTGTGGGGTGCTGCCCGGGCTACGGGCTTTCTGATGGGCCAGCCCTCCCTCTCTCCTCTGCGCACGGCAGGTGATCACTCTGGAAGGCTGGGTGGAGATCATGTACTATGTGATGGATGCTCACTCCTTCTACAACTTCATCTACTTCATCCTGCTTATCATAGTAAGTGTCAGGGAGCCTGGGCTCCTAGGCGTGCTCAGAACGTGAGGAGGGAGGGTCTTTGGGAATCCCCAGGGAGCCCCTCAGAGCGAGGCGATCCGAGATGAGGGAGCAGGAGGGGCTATTTCTCAGCACCGCCGGGCAGCAGGTGATTGAAGGGGCTCATCAGGGGTGGCTGTCGGAAGCATCCATCACCTTCAGTTGCTGTCATTTCTCATGTCTGGGCACTTACTTCCCCACCGATGCTCTGCTCCTGTCTCTCTGCATTGTATCTCTGGGATACACTTTTTGCATGACCTGAGCCCGAGGTGCAGCCTCAGACTGGAAGCTTCAGAAGGGCTTCCAGCTCATGCCTGTTTTCCTGGACAGGGAAGACAAGATGCCTGGAGACTGAGCAGGGTTTGGAGGGAGGTTGCCTGATGGTGATCTGGTGGAACTCCCTGAAATTCTCAGAGGGACTCCCATCTCTTGGGCAGCCCTGCCTTGTTGGGGTAACCTGGAGATGGAGGTGGGCCCACCTGCCTCTTCCTGGCCAGCCCCTCTTGCCTGCACCCGCACACAGTCTCCCCAGGGTGAGCTCATCCACCTCGTCATGCCTGACTGCAGCTTCAGCACAGCACAGTCCCCAAAATGTCAAGGTGATTGACTCCCAGGAGCCGCTGCTGAATCCTGCTGTTGCGAGGCTGGGTTCTCTGGCTTCCTGGTGGTGGGAGAGGGCACACTTGACCCTCCAGGGCAGTGCCCCATCCTGGGCTGGCAGGACCTTGACCTGGGGACCCAGGCCAGACCGGCAGGTGACCGGAGACACCTGCTGTTGTCTAAGCTCCAGTGCTTTCTTGGGGAGGCTGGAGCCTTGGACCTATAGGAGATGCCCCAGATAAAAGGAGAAGGGCCAGATATTCAGCATTGCCATCCATGGCCTTGCATATTCATTCACTAGAACATTCAGGAAGCCCACACTGCACCAGGCCCTGAGGCAAGTGCTAGGAACAGAGCAGTGAGTAAGGCCCAGCCCCTGTCCTCAAGGAGCTCACAGTCTCGTGAGAAGATGGGCTGACAGCAGTCAGTGACCATACGGCATCTTAGATGCCATGATAGAAGGGAGCCCAGAGAAGGCTCCCAATCCAGCCTGGAGGAGGGATGGGGAGGTGGGAGGCTTCTTGGAGCAGGTGATGCCAGAATTGAGCCGTAAAGACTCAGGAGGTCAGCAGGGAAAGAGCCTCTTGGGCGGGGGTGGCTCACAGAGCCCCTGAAGCTGGTCGGGATACTGCAGTGTGGGAGCCACAAGCCACTGAGGTTGCAGGAGGAGACTCCGGTTCCCAGGAGGGGCTAGAGGATGCTCCATCTGCTCTTGCTGTGGGGTTCAGGGTGGCTAAGGGTGCGGAAGGGGTAAAGCGCAATGCTCCCCAAGCTCATTGTGAAATGGGGGACAGTGACAGCACCTTGCTTCTGGGCTCTCAGGAGGGTTAGGTGAGACAGAGCCTGAAGCCTGCATGCCCTTGGCACACAGTGAGTGCTCAGTACATGTGCTCTGCTACTGTTACGGCTGCTGCTGTCGGGTCTCAGGCGGCCCTGTCACAGGACAATCTGCTACTGTCACGGCTGCTGCTGTCGGGTCTCAGGCGGCCCTGTCACAGGACAAGGGGTGCTGGCGAGAGGCTGAAAGGGCTGAGTTTTTGCAGGCGCTGGGAAGGGTTCACAAAGCAAAGTCAGGACAAATGCGCTTCTATGTCACCTGCAGGGTCACCTCCCGTGAGGACCCTGAACCCCAGAAAGGTGAGGGGTACTTGGCCTTCAAGCCCAGGCTCTAGTACTCCTTTACATTTTAATTTTTATTATTTTTATTTTATTTTAGAGACAAGGTCTGGCTCTGTCACCCAGGCTGGAGTGCTGCGGTGCAATCATAGCTCACTGCAGCCTTGATCTCCTGGGCTCAAGCGATCGTCCCCCCCTCAGCCTCCTGAGTAGCTGGGACTATGGGCACGCACCACCATGCCTGGCTGATTTTTAAATTTTGTTTTGAGACAGGGTCTTGCTGTGTTTCTTAGGCTGGTCTCAAACTCCTGGACTCAAGTGATCCCCCTGCCTTGGCTTCCCAAAGCACTGGCATTACAGGCGTGAGCCACGGCCCTGGGCCCCCAGTGCTCTTTCTTTCTTTCTTGTCTTTTTTTTTTTTTTTTTTAAGACGGAGTCTTGCTCTTGTTGCCCAGGCTGGAGTGCAATGGCCTGATCTCGGCTCACTGCAACCTCTGCCTTCCGGGTTCAAGTGATTCTCCTACCTCAGCTTCCTGAGTAGCTGGGATTACAGGTGCACACCACCACACCCGGCTAATTTTTGTATTTTGAGTAGTGACGGGGTTTCACCATGTTGGCCAGGCTGGTCTCAAACTCCTGACTTCAAGTGAAATCACCCACTTCGGCCTCCCAAAGTGTTGGGATTACAGGCATGAGCCACCGCACCCGGCCTCCTTCTGACTTGAAAAGTTCTTGGCTCATCAGGTCTGAGCCTTCTATTTTACAGATGGGGAAGTGGAGGCCGGGAGGGGATGGAGGCCTGCCTGGGTCGCCCAGGGCAGCAGCTGCAGAGGCAGAGGCGGGTAGGAGCCTGACAAATGTGTGGTCCCAGAGGGCAGGGCCCAGCCCTCTCTTCCTCCGACCCTCACACAGGCCTGGTGCAGGGCAGCTCCCCAGGAAGTGCTTGTGGACGAGGTGACTGAGACAAGGATGGGAGGCCATCTTCTTACCCGATAGGCAGGGGATTTTCCCAGAGTCCTCTGGGCCAGTAACCCTCCCAGACCCTAGCTCCTCAGTCGTCGTTGATGAGGCTGCAGCCGGGGAGAGCCTCCTGGCAGGCACCTCCGAGGGGGATGAAAGCTATCTGCTCTGGCTGGCTGGCAGCCAAGTTCACTCCCAGGCTCAGCAAATGCTGGGGAGGGGGCTGTGCCCTGAAAGCCTGGAAACTGGAGAGGAGCCCCACTCCTGGAGCCATCAGGCCACGAGGAGATGGGATCCCCAGTGCCAACCGGGGCAGCCTCTCCCCCTCCATTTCCTATAAGCACAAATAAAGCCACGTGAAAACCCCGAGGGACCTTCTCTTTTCTCGTCTGGGGTCCCAGCTGAGGCCAGATTCTGACCAGAGAGAAGGCAGGGCTGGGCAAGGACTCAGGGCCTGGGAAACCCGAAACGGACTGTGGCCTCCCTCCCTGGGCTCAGTGCAGATATCCCAGGCGGATGGGGGCCAGGCCAGGGCCTAGGGGTGTGAGGGGAGCTGGGCTTTGAAGCAGATCCCAGTCGGGCCTGGGGAGCTGCCTAGGCCATTGCCTTCTCCTGGAGTGAGGCCTCAGCGATCTTTTCCTGTCCCCATCTGTGTCTGTGCCTGTGTCTCTCTGGGCCCCTCCACCTCTCCTGCCTCTTTCCCTGTCTCCACTCATCCCCTGCATCTCCCCTCCCTTGTGTCTGTCCTCTCTGAGCCTGTCTCATTTTCTTTGTCATTGCGTCTGTGTACCTCGCTGTCTCTTTCTACCTGCCCCTGCTCTGGCCTCTGTGTCTCTGGTTGGTCCCTGCCCCTCCACCTTGCTTAATTTCTGCCTCTGTACCTGCATCTCCATCTCCGTCTCCATCTCCCCATCTCCCTCTGCCTCCCTCTCCCCATGTCTCCCTGCTGTCCCCACCCCATGACTCTGCCTCTCTCACCCCTCTGTCCCCTCCATCCGTGTCCCTGTCCCTGTCCTCTCCTCCCGTTGGTCACAGGTGGGCTCCTTCTTCATGATCAACCTGTGCCTCGTTGTCATAGCGACCCAGTTCTCGGAGACCAAGCAACGGGAGCACCGGCTGATGCTGGAACAGCGGCAGCGCTACTTGTCCTCCAGTACGGTGGCCAGCTACGCCGAACCTGGCGACTGCTACGAGGAGATCTTCCAGTATGTCTGCCACATCCTGCGCAAGGCCAAGCGCCGCGCCCTGGGCCTCTACCAGGCCCTGCAGAGCCGGCGCCAGGCTCTGGGCCCGGAGGCCCCGGTGCCCGCCAAACCTGGGCCCCATGCCAAGGAGCCCCGGCACTACAGTAAGTGGCCCTGCATCCGACACGGCACTCAGGCACTGCATGCCAAGTGTCGCTCCTTTCTAGCACGTCCAGCAGGCCCAGCAGCCTCCACATTCCAGGTCTTCACTTTGTGCTCAAGTGTTTCCTTCACAGCCCCCAGGGAGCTCTGTCCCCATCTCTGCCTGCCCTCTCCTGGCACCTGTCAGAGTCTGTACTGGACTGGGGCTGGTGCTGGGTGGAACTCAGCCTTTCCCTGGAGGCATTCGATCCCTGTGTGTGTGGAGATAGCAGCTCTGCCCCGGGAGCCACACTTGAGAGGAATGAACAAGTGTCTGTCCTCAGTCTTGGGAAGCTCAAATTCTTCCCCTGATGCAGCCCACATCACTCCCTTCTCTGGGTTCCTTCTGCTGTCCCCTGCTTTCCAGCACACCCGAGCAATGACCCTGGGTGCCTGGCACAAAGGGGCTGTGGGTCTGCCCCCTCAAAGCTGTGGCATGTTGGGGACTCATGCCACCCTGTGCTCTGTGCTTGCCCTGGGGCTGCGGGAGTTACACTTTTGTTTTTTTGTTGTTGTTGTTGTTGAGACAGGGTCACTGAGGGAGTACAGTGACACCAACACAGCTTACTGCAACCTCGATCTCCTAGACTTAAGCCATCCTGCCGCGTCAGCCTTCAGAGTAGCTGGGACTATAGGCGTGCACCCCCACGCCCGGCTAATTTTTAATTTTTTTTTCTTTTTTTGTAAAGACAGGTCTCCCTGTGTTGCCCAGGCTGGTCTCAAACTCTTGGGCTCATGTGATCCTCCCGCCTTGGCCTCCCAAAGTGCTGGGATTACAGGCATGAGCCACTGCCCCTGGCTGAGGTTATGCTGTTAGGCTTGGAAGGGGCTGCCCTGTTGGTTGCCTCATCTGTTCCAGGAAACAGTCCTGAGAAAGGAGCAGATAGTAATATTATCCCCACTTTTCAGATGGGAAGACTAAGGGTCAGGGAGACGAAGGGAGCATCTCAGAAGCCGGCATTGCCAGGCTTTGCAGGGGCCTGCCTCCCCTGGAAATGATCACTCGGGAAGAGGCAAGCCAGGGCCACAGAGGTGGGCCCTGCCCCCAGCCCCCAGCCCCAGTGCCACTTCTCCCAGTTGGCGCCGAGAAGGAAGTCAGCAGGCATGGGGACTGTGCTTGAACAGACGCGGGCCTCTGCAGGCCTGTCTCCTGCCTGTAAAGTGAGGACAGGGGCCCCCAGCACGCAGCGTCCGCAGCGGGAGTCAGCCACCCCAGACCCTGCTCTGGAAAGCCCAGTCCTTCCAGCCTTCATGGTCTGGGAATCGATTCTTGGGAGGCGAGCAGAAGAATGCACGCTCAGAGCTGCCGCCCACCCATCCTTGGGTGCCAGCCGTCCAGGCGTGGGCTTGGAGGAGGCCCCAGGTGGCCCGTGGGCAGGCCCGGCATGCGGATACAGGAGCCGGGGCCAGGCAAGGCTGGCACCGGTGTTGCTGGAGGACGTGGGGGAGAAGCGTTCACTCCAACAGGCTTCTCACGGCCGCCTAGCCCCCTCTCCTGGCACCTGTGCCCCCTTGCCCCTGCGCCTCCCCTCTGCCCTGGAAAACGAGAGTTGGCAGCCGCCCCATGTCCAGGTGGGAGCAGTGAGCCGGCGCGGGGAAGGGCTTTGGCCTGTCCTCCGGGGTGAGATGGGACTGGCCGCTGGGCTCCTGGCTGCCTGCTCCAGCTCTAGAGGTGGGAACGAGTCAGGGGTGCTTATTTGGGGCTTGGGAGGCAGCTGGAGGCAAGTGTGGAAATGAAGGGCAGGTGTGACATGCTTTTCTTTCCCTTTCATGTTACTTTTTTGGCTTACACAAGCAAAATGTGTTTATTCTAGGAATACACAGGAAAACACAAAGAAGAAATTAAACCAGGCAGAGAGAGGCCTCTCTGGCACCTCTTTGAGATGGTTCACAGATCACAGAACGCAGTCCGGGGCCAGCCCAGGCTTCTCCCGTGATTCTGGGGCAGCAAAGGGATGAAGTTCCCTCTTCCCAGCGGGCCTTCCTGCCCGCTGCCCCCACCTCCACCCCTTGTGTGGAGGGAAGTCCCAGGGGCTTCTGGAGTGAGGGTCCGCCCCTGCCCCAGGGCTCCATGCCTCCTCCCCTCCCTGGGAAACAAACCTCCCCTCCCCACTTACGGACAGGAAACTTGAGAACACCAAGGCCACCGTGGCCTCCTCTGAGGGGGCCCGCCCCCACATTGGCCTGGCTCTTTCAGAATCACATTTAGTTCCCAAGCTGCGTGACTGGGGCTCTGAGTCTGTCCTGTGCTGACCCAGGGCCTGGGCCAGGAGGGATGGCCGGTCAGCATGGACACGTGCCCTGCACCGTGCTGGGCCCATCATGTGCCTTAAGGGAGATAATCCTCCTATAGCCTGCATGGTGGGCGTTCCTGCCCCCACATCTACAACAGGGGTGGACAAAGCTCAGAGAGCTGCAGCCGCTTCCCCGGGGGCCCCCCGCCCTTCCAGGCTGGGTCAGCTGGTTCCAGGCAGACCTGTGGGCCTGGGAGCGGAGCGCGCTCAGATGTGTCCCTGGGTGGATTGGACCTGGTGTGGGCAACAACTCTACACCTCTCCCGTTTGCTTTTCAGAGCTGTGCCCGCGACATAGCCCCCTGGACGCGACGCCCCACACCCTGGTGCAGCCCATCCCCGCCACGCTGGCCTCTGACCCCGCCAGCTGCCCTTGCTGCCAACATGAGGCCGGCCGGCGGCCCTCAGGCCTGGGCAGCACCGACTCGGGCCAGGAGGGCTCGGGCTCCGGGAGCTCTGCTGGTGGCGAGGACGAGGCAGATGGGGACGGGACCCGGAGCAGCGAGGACGGAGCCTCCTCGGAACTGGGGAAGGAGGAGGAGGAGGAGGAGCAGGCGGATGGGGCGGTCTGGCTGTGCGGGGACGTGTGGCGGGAGACGCGAGCCAAGCTGCGCGGCATCGTGGACAGCAAGTACTTCAACCGGGGCATCATGATGGCCATCCTGGTCAACACCGTCAGCATGGGCATCGAGCACCACGAGCAGGCCAGTGCAGCGCAGCCAGGCTGGGCCCGCAGGGGAGGTGTGAGGGCCCCAGGACCCTGGCCAGGCCTGGGCAGCCCCATGCATGTGCCTCGGTTTGTGTATCTGTCCCCTGAGAAGTGCTGGGCTGAGCTGGGTCCAGTACATCCATGCGACCTTACTGCCCAGCCAGGGCCAAGCTCAGAGGAGGGAAAGGCTGGGGTGTCTGCTGAATGAATGATGAGTGAATGAGTGAAGCTGGCTAGGACTGGGCCTCTCTGGAACTCTTTTCCTCCTGAGCTGCTCGGCCTGGACACCAAGGCAACCACAGTGCATCCCCTGCCAGTCCCTGCAAATCTGACTTCTATTCACCTCTCCACCTGAGCCCTTCTGTTTTCTTCTTTAAAAAAAAAAATTAAAAAAAAGAGAGACAGGGTCTTGCTCTGCTGCCCAGGCTGGAGTGCAGTGGCACGATCAAGCAATACTGCCTCTTCAGCCTCCCAAGTAGCTGGGACTACAGGCGCACGCCACAAAGCCTGGCCACCTGGGCCCTTCTGTCCATTCTCCCCCAAACAGCTGGGGTGATTTTCCCAGAGGGCCAGTCTGGTTGGGCTCTTCCCTGCCTCAAAACTTCTGTTGCTCCTCATTGCCCTCAGGACAAAATCCAGACTTTTCCACTACCCTCAAGGCCTTTGTCTCTATCACAACGTCCCTTCACCAGGCCAGGGTGTCCTGTCCTCTCCAGTGACTCCACCCCATATAGCCCCATGGCGCTGAGGGTGAGTGGCCCCGTGGTTGTCCTGTGTGTCCTCTCTGCATGTCCCTCCTGTGTGCTGGGAGCAGGGAGGACAAGGAGGAGTGGGTGCTGAGCTGAACAGTGTGCCCCAGGCCCCTGGGCCATCATGGGGCTGGCCGGCTCCAGGGATAGTACACAGGGGAGGGGACAGCTTCTGGGAGGTGGTGGGAGCTGGGGGATGATGTGTGTGTGAGGAGAGCAGGGCCTCCGTGGGGATGCGGGAGGGAGGGGCAGTGGGGTTAGCACGGATGCCTCAGTCCACAGGCACCACCCAGGGATGACAGCCTGGATGGCAGGTCTGGTCCTGCCCCATTTGGAAAAACACCATTTTCCGGCTCCTGCCATCCACCAGCCCCTGGATAGGGTGGCTCCCTGAACCCACTCCCCAGCTATGCGAAGGATCCCACCTAGTAGCTGGCGACCCTGAGGCCCAACAGGGGGGATGTCACTGGCCCGAGGTCCCGCCGCCAGCTGGGGGCCAGGTTTGAACCCACTTCTTTCTGCGGCAAGACTGACGCCCCGAGTGGGCTGGGGATTTCGACGTTCTCTTTGCTTCCCTGCGGCCTTCCTTCTGCGGAGGCCCTGCATGCCGCACCCCATGGAGTTGCACTTGCACCTCCCTCTTCGTTAGCTCACCAAGCACAGGCTCCATTCAATTTACTTAAATGGGCCCCCCGGGGCTGCCTTGACACTCTATTTGGAGCTGCTGGTTTGCCAGCCATTCTGGCTTAATTAAAAAGGTCTCTGGGGAGGGCTGGCGGGAGGGCTCTCTGCAGGGGGAAAGCTGGTGAGACAGGGCCCCCAGGACCCCCTTGCTTGGAGTCCTGCCTCTGGCCAGTGCCTGGCCCAGGCCTGCGGAGGAGCAGCATTCCTGCCGAAAGCCCCACAGGGAGTGAGTACTATAGGGCTTGCTCCAGTCTCCAAGTGGGGCAGCATCGAGGGGGCCTGCACAGCCCTGCTACACTCAAGCCCTGGCACTGTCCTTGCCAGGGGCTCGCTCGAGCCAGCTGGTGAGGGCCAATTTCCAGACGCTCGGGAATTGTGCAAGCCAGTGATGAAAGAGTTGGGCGCTTGAAATTGGCCGTGGAGGGAGTATTTACACCATGGAAAATGGCAGATGTTACACATCAGGGCTGTTTGCAGAGGCCTCTTTGCCAGGGTACAGCTGGTCCCTGCCTTTTCACCCACCCCATCCACATCAACACCACGGCCAGGGCAGGTCCAGCCTCAGGCCAGGCCATGGTCCCTGTCCAAGCTTCCTCAGGATCTGCCTCTCTGGCCTGTCCTCCCTCCCTCCTTCTGCCACATTTGTTTGAACATGGTTTCTAACCTCGAATCTGGAAGAGCCTTTTTTTTTTTTTTTTTTTTTTGAGATGGAGTCTCACTGTGTCATCTAGGCTGGAGTGCAGTGGTGTGATCTGGCTTCACTGCAACCTCCGCCTCCCAGGTTCAAGCAATTCTCCAGGCGTGTGCCACCCCTCCCAGCTAATTTTTAGTAGAGACGGGGTTTTGTCATGTTGGCCAGGCTGGTCTTGAACTCCTGACCTCGGGTGATCTGCCTGCCTCAACCTCCCAAAGTGCTGGGATTACAGGCGTGAGCCACTGCGCCCAGCCAGGTGGAGCCTCTTCTGGGAGCAGTAGGCTTCACGTGGCTCCCTGACCAGGCTGAGAGATGAGAAACGCTGTTCCCACTGTGCGTCTCCTGTCTGGTCACAGGGAACACCTGATTTCCTCATCTACTAAGCAGATGTCTTTCCCTCATAGGGACAGGCCACTATTTACGGAGCGTGTACTGCAGGCCAGGCCCTGTGCCAGCATGGTGCCAGTGAGTCCAGCCGCCCTCAAGGCAGGGATTATTACCTCACCCCTCTCGTACCCTTGGAAGGCCGCTGCTCAGGGAGGCAAATAGATCATATAACGTTTGGGTTTCAGTCCTGGTTCTGGCCGGGCTTGGTGGCTCATGCCTGTAATCCCAGCACTTTGGGAGGCCGCATGCCTGTAATCCCAGCACTTTGGGAGGCCGTGGCAAGAGAATCACTTGAGCCCAGGAGTTCAAGACCAGCTTGGGCAACAGAGTAGGACCCCGTTTCTACAAAAAATAAAAAAATTAACCAAGTGTGGTGGTGCATGTCTGTAGTCCCATCTACTTGGGAGGCTGAGGTGGTGGGAGGTTTGCTTGAATCCAGGAATTTGAGGCTACAGTGATTGGTGATCATGCCACTGTATTCCAGCCTGGACAACAGAGCAAGACCCTATATCAAAACAAACAAAAAATTCCACATCAGCCAAACAAACCAATCCTGGTTCTGCTGTTGACTGGCAGGGTGGCCTGGAGTGTATCACTTGCCTTCCTCACCTGGCACCTCCCATCTGTAAATGGGTGCACGGATCCCCCCACACAGTGGCTAAGAGGGTTGACTGCATTGTGGGTGCAAGGATCCCCCCACACGGTGGCTAAGAGGGTCGACTGCATGGAGAACCTGGTACTTAGTAGGTGCTCATTGATGAGTCACTGCTTCAGAGTCTTGTCTGAGTCTCACACCACCACCCCGGGGTGCGTTTTCCATCCTCTGTCTGGAGCCTCAAAAAATTAATTAAAGTAAGATTGGGGAGGAGGATGAGTCTCTGAAATGTCCTTCATAAAGCAGCTCCAGTGGCAGCCATGGTTGCCCAGGCTCTGCGCAGGGCTTGACAGTGGGCCCGCTGGTATTTTTGCTCGACTCCCTCGGCTCCCAGACACTGCTCTGCGGGAAATGCTCCACCCCCATGTTTATTCTGAGCAGCCCTGTCTGAGGTGGTGCTCGCAGAGAGAGGTGGCCCAGGGCTTCCAAGGGGGGTGCAGGGAGAGAAGGAGAGAAGGAGAGGGTGGGTGAACTCCCTCAGCCCTTCTCTACAGGGGAGGCAGCATGGGAGGCCTTGCCCTATACCCCATTCTGGCTGGCAGGGAGCTCTGTGACACTGAGGGGCAGGAGGCGAGGGTGTGACATCTGTGAAGTGGAGCAGAGTGACCCTGGGCCTGGTCACAGGGTGCTCGAATGACAGGTTAGATTGCAGGCACTCAAGCCTTTAGGGTGGCCACTGCTGCTGGAATCGTGGGGGCATTACCCAGAGAACAGCTTACTCATCGAGGTTCCTCATGGCAGCAGATGCTGTTTCTTGCAGGGCCTGGCCTAGAAGGAGGGAATGGGTGAGGTGGGGGTCGGCCAGGCAGGGGTCTGTGTGTGACTCATGAAGTGGTGAAATGGGGCTGAAATTCCCACCTCTGGGTAGCCCAGGCTGTGTGACGGGCAGGTGGGACAGGTCAGCTGGGGTGGCCAGGCTTCTCCAGGGAGGCCTGATTCCTTCATCGTCACCGCTGTCATTGCATCACTGTTCTTCCTGGTGTGATCCTCCAGCAGCCTTGTGGGGCAGACTGGGGGAGCATCTTATCCCCACCAAGCAGATGGGGAAACCGAGGCCCAGTGAGGTAGATGGCTTGCCCAAAGTGCCAGGGTGAGCAGCGACAGAGCCGGGCTCCCAGAGGTTGAGGTTAGCTGTGGACAGTTGAACCTGGAGGAAGGCATTGCCCCTAGGAGCAGCGTCTGTCTCAGCTTCTCTCTCTCCTGCACATACCTGTGCAGGCCCTGACTCCTCCTGAGCTGGGCAGGGCTGCCCTGCAGCCTCATGTCCTGGAGCTGGAGGCTAACCACCAAGTTGGAGAACAAAAAACAGAGGGTTGGGGAGCATGGGCAGCAGGGCAGGGTGTGGGGAGCCTCCTGGGTAGGGCTGACCCCAGGCCAGGCTATAGTTACTGGCCCCAGCTCCCAGGGGACTGCATTCAAAGCCTCTGAATCAGTGGCTGGATCAAAGCTGGCTTTATTCTCCCTTCAGCAGCCCCTGACATGTCAAGTCACTGCCAACCCAGGTCTGGGGTGACTCTGGGAAGTGAAGGATGGAGTGGCTTAGTGGCTGACATTCCAGCTCTATAGGGGCACAAGGGAGAGAGACACCAACATGGACAGCAGTCACAGAAGGCTTCCTGGAGGTGATGGCACTGGGGACAGATCCTGAAGGATGACTAGGAGTTCATCAGTGAGACAGAGGGAGAGGGACCAGGAACATAGTTATCCCCCCAAAGGACCCCGAGTCCTCGAGAAGGATGTGTACAAGGGGCAGGGCAGACAGTGCAGGAGGCCAGGAGGGCTGTTCATTCAGGAGGACCTTGGAGCCGGTTTTATCCTTAGGGCAATGGGGAGCCCAGAAAGGCTTGCAAGCAAATGACACATCTGTGCTGAACTGGGGCCTCACCAGAAAAGCGGGGCAGGTGCAGGCACCTGGGCCAAGGAGGTGGCGATGTGGCCAGAGGGAGGAGACCTAGGTTTGAGATCTGACTTCAACACAGCCTGGTCATGACCCTGGGCAGTCAGTTCTCTTTGAGTCTCAGGCTCCCTGTCTGTAAAATGGGGACAATATAGGCGTGAGGTTGAGAGGAGATAATGCCTGGGGCGTGCTCAGCACACCCCGCCCATGGGAGGGGCCTCATCAATGCTAGCTGCCATTATTATGATGGGGATGGCGCTGGGCTGGAGGGCTTCCCGGTGGCCAGCTGACTTCTGCACACCCTTATCTACCCCTACAGAAACGGCAGAGGCTGGGCAGCCTGCTGCCACCTGAATCTGTGTCAGGCAGGGACTTGCAGGCTCCCGCAGCTGCCCCCTACCTCCTGCCTCCAGCTAAACCTGGTGTTTTCAGCCCTTCAGCACCTCCGCCTTCACTGGGTGCTCTTCGCCACCTCCAGCAACCTTTCTGCCATCTGTCTGTCTGTCCGACTGTCTGTCTGCCTGCTCTTTTTGTGTCTCTTTCTGGCCATATCTATGATTCCCATGGTGTCACTGCTTCGTTGTCCTGGTCCTTCTTCACGTCCGTGTCTCTGCTTTCCTCTCTCTATGTCTCCGTCTCTCCATGCCCCACCTTTGCCCCTCACTCCCTTGTCTGTATCTGTCTGTCTGTCTGTCTATGTGCATCTCCGCCTCTTCCTCTCTACGTCCCCTCCTCCTCGGGCTCCCACTTGCTGTGTCTATTTTCATCTGTGTGTCTCTGTCCCAGAGAAATGCTTGCAGGAGTGATGGATGGTCCATTAGAAAAAGATTAACAGGTGCACTGAATGGAGAAACATCTGTTGTGAGGGAGGAGAAGGCGCGGGGTGACCTTTTGGATGGCAGTGGCTCCCCGCATCCCCGGTGGGAGTGCGTGTGTGGCGCGTGTGGCCAGAGCCAGCTGGTCATCATCACGGAGTGTCAGCATCTACAGCTTTCATCTCCGCGGACATCGCTTACTGGGCTGGCAAATTGCTGGCTCTGAGCAGCATCTGGACCCTGGCTCAGCCAGGGGTGCTGGGCCTCAGCCCTCCCCACCGAGGGTCCCTCTCAGGGTCCCACTCCTCTTTTGGGACGACTTCTTGAGTCAGATGTAATTACAGATGGAAATGGGCCTTCTCCTTTCATCTGGGCATGAGAGGAGCTGGCAGTTTTGCTGGTTTTCCCAGGCACCAGGCTGGAAGCTGGTGCTTGGGTTATTTCTTTTTTTCATCGTCCTTTTAACCCACATGGAGTCAGAGTCAGGTCCTTGCAGCTCCCTGTTGCTGATGGAGAGGGCTTCTGCTTTCGGTCCTCTGCTCTCCCACCTCCCAGCCCGTTGGGCCCTCTGCCTGCACAACCTTCTCTGCTCCCTGCCACCGGCTCTCTCTTAGCTTTTAGGTCTCTGCTGAGATGTCGCTGCCTCCTGACCCCACTAGCACCGCTCCCCTAGCCACCCTCTGCTTTCCTGTCATCAGCACACACCAGCTTGGTTTGTTAACTTGGTTTACTGGGCTTTGCCTCCAGAACATGAGCTTCTCAAAGGCAGGGACAGTGCCCTGACTCCCTCACCACTGCCCACCCTGGTAGCATGAGCCCAACACATCATGTCATTCAAATCTGTGGCAGCCATGAAGGAATGAATGAATGAATTCGGCTGTGGTCCCCGTGTGGTGTAATGGGAGAGCAGTTTGGTCATGCAGGAATGAATGAATGAATGAATGAATGAATGAATGAATGAATTCGGCTGCGGTCCCTGTGTGGTGTAATGGGAGAGCAGTTTGGCCATGCAGGAATGAATGAATGAATGAATGAATGAATGAATGAATGAATGAATGAATTCGGCTGTGGTCCCCGTGTGGTGTAATGGGAGAGCAGTTTGGCCATGCAGGAATGAATGAATGAATGAATGAATGAATGAATGAATTCGGCTGCGGTCCCTGTGTGGTGTAATGGGAGAGCAGTTTGGCCATGCAGGAATGAATGAATGAATGAATGAATGAATGAATTCGGCTGTGGTCCCCGTGTGGTGTAATGGGAGAGCAGTTTGGCCATGCAGGAATGAATGAATGAATGAATGAATGAATGAATGAATGAATTCGGCTGTGGTCCCCGTGTGGTGTTTGGCCATGCAGGAATGAATGAATGAATGAATGAATGAATGAATGAATGAATTCGGCTGCGGTCCCTGTGTGGTGTAATGGGAGAGCAGTTTGGAGTCCAGCTTGGTTCAGTCCCCTGCCTTGCCCTGCCACGTCCTTGCTGGATGGCTCTGAACAAGTCATTCCCCCTCCCAGTTTCCCCAGCCTCAGTCTCTCCATCTGTGAAACGGAGAGGCTAACTTGTGTTGGGCGTCAAATCAGGTCTCAACAACGGTGCTTCCCGTCTCTGTGATTCAGGCAGGGATGACCTGGCACCACCGTGAGCACACACCAGACACTTCAGCAGTCCCGGGGAAGCCGTGGCGGGGAGAGAAGGGGCTGGGCCTCCTAGGAGCCTTAGAGGAGAGGTTTGGATGAATTAGTTCATTCACTCGATCCTCTAGTTTTATGGATAAGGAAACTAAACTCCAGAGTAGTGGGGAAGCGACTCTCCCAGGACCGCACAGCCACTTAATGTCCAAACCAAGCCCGGACCCCTCTAACTTCCCCCACTGCCGCCAGTCGTGGCCTCTAGTGTGGCCTGCTTTAAATACTGGGGTTCTTTGAACAATGCCATTTGCAGAACATCAGTTAAAAACCGGGAGTAAACAGCTCTGGGAGCAGAGGGAGGCTCTGCGGCTGCTGCGGCAGGAGTTAGTCTCCCTCTGACCACCCAGCGGCTTTGGGCAGGTCCTCTTACCTCCCCGGGTCTGAATGTCCTCCTCTGAGAGCTGTCGGGTGTGCTGAGAGCCACCACGGGTGCTGTGTGTGCAGGACTGTGCCTGGCATGCAGCAGGTACATTGTGTCCATCCTCCTTTCATGGGGCACGATGTCCCCAGCCACCCTTGGTCCTGAGACAGCCAGTGCTGGGAAGGGGAGAGAGAAGTTCTGCATGAACAGGGGTTAAGGGCAGGAGTCTTGGAGCCAGGCTGCCTGGGTTCAAATCCTGGCCCCACCACTTGTTAGCTCTGCGGCCTCAGGCAAGGGACTGGTGTCCTGTAAACCCGCATCCTTGCCTGCCTGCAGATGGGTTCTTATGAGAGACTAAGTGAAGTGATGCCTGTAAAATATATAGAACAGTTCCTGGCATGTGGTAAGTGCTCACTAAACGGGTTAGGGTCGTGGGCAAACAGGGAGTTTCTGGCGGCGCCTGTCCTGCTTTCCTGTCTTGCTCTGCATCTTAGCCGTGTGATCTCAGGCTGGCCTCCAAGCCTCAGTTTCCTCATCTGTGAAATGGGTATCAGAACACTTCCCTCGTGGTGCACTACAAGCCTCATTTCCAAATTTGTGGATGGTCAGCCCTGTGGGGTCCCCCAAGTCTCACCATCTCAGCAGACCTCTCAGGACCCTGAGGTAGCAGAGTTGAGAGGCCCTCAGGGCCTTGTACACGAAGCAGTGGGGAGACTGAGCTGTGGTGAGGATACCGATCCGCCAGGCCACACAGCCAGGGTGGGTGTCCAGAGGGGATCCACCGCTGCCCTCTGGTCTGACCGGGTCTCATTCCCCACCCCAATGCCCCACAGCCAGAGGAGCTGACCAACATCCTGGAGATCTGCAACGTGGTCTTCACCAGCATGTTTGCCCTGGAGATGATCCTGAAGCTGGCTGCCTTTGGGCTCTTCGACTACCTGCGTAACCCCTACAACATCTTCGATAGCATCATTGTCATCATCAGGTACTCCTCCACCCTCCCCCCGGGCAGCAGAGTGGCTTGGAGGGGAGGGGGCAGGATTTAATGTGAAGACCCTAGCCACTATATAAAGGACATAGGATGGCAGTGGAAACCCGTTGCACTGAAACAATTATCGAAATAGTCAAACATTTGTGATTTAGCAACATATTTATGCAAAGTTAAATAGCACGATCTAGCAGCGGGTCTGTGACTGCTATCATTCCAAGGAAGGGATGGGCATAAATAATATTGGGAAACAGCTGCATCGGCTGTCACATGACATGAAGACATCAGTTACTTTGATTGCCACAATGCCATAGGTACTGCTAATTCTCTGTGGCTTCCTGTTTACATTCATAACCAAAAGACACATTAAATCTCATAAAGAGGACAGTGACATCCACAGAGCTCCTGGATTCTAGCCAGAGATTTCTTATGGGGGTGGTGGTCCATGGACTCCAGGTGAAGAGCCCCTGATTAGCTGCGTGGAGCAGCATCCAACCTATTTGTCAGATGGATGGATGAACGGAAGCTCTGACTCTCTGTTTTCCCTTCTCCCTCTGTCTTCCTCTCCCCCCGGCCTCCTACTGCTCCCTCCTGCCTGCACCCTGGGCCTGCCCTGTGGGGCCACAGCATCTGGGAGATAGTGGGGCAGGCGGATGGTGGGCTGTCGGTACTGCGGACCTTCCGGCTGCTGCGCGTGCTGAAGCTGGTGCGCTTCATGCCTGCCCTGCGGCGCCAGCTCGTGGTGCTCATGAAGACCATGGATAACGTGGCCACCTTCTGCATGCTGCTCATGCTTTTCATCTTCATCTTCAGGTGAGCCTGCCCTGCTGGGGGCCATACCTCAGGGCCTGCTAGGGCTGTGGGTGGGAGCCTGGGGGATGTGGTCCGCTGTGCTTCTCTGGACAAAGCCACCTGGACCTGGGTGTGAAGGCTGACACCGTCCCTCAGTCCCCTGTGGCTTTCAGCAAGCATGACCCCCTGAGCCTCAGTGTTCACCTCTGTAAAATGGGACCCACGCTGCCCCGCCTCCCCCTGCCCGCATTTTACTGAGTTGACTGGGAATGAAACAAGGTGGGTGGGCAGTTTGCTGCGTGTGAGTCTGATGAGCCTCGTCCATCCTTTCCCCAGCATCCTTGGGATGCACATTTTTGGCTGCAAGTTCAGCCTCCGCACGGACACTGGAGACACGGTCCCTGACAGGAAGAACTTCGACTCCCTGCTGTGGGCCATCGTCACCGTGTTCCAGGTGAGTGGCCGCTGTGTGTCCATATGTGCTGGGGAAGCGATGGGACAGTAGTCCTTGGAGGGGCGGGACTGACAGCCCCCATGCCTCCCTGGAGAGCCTAGCCCTGGACTAGGGGTACCCCAGGGCTAACTGTGTCTCCCCAACAGATCCTCACCCAGGAGGACTGGAACGTCGTGCTCTACAACGGCATGGCCTCCACCTCCCCCTGGGCCTCCCTCTACTTTGTCGCCCTCATGACCTTCGGCAACTATGTGCTCTTCAACCTGCTGGTGGCCATCCTGGTGGAGGGCTTCCAGGCGGAGGTGACTGTGGTCTTGGCAGAGGAAGCACCCCCACAGGGCCTGCAAAAGACTGGGCGAGGGAGAGGTGGCCTGGATGGGGGAGGGCTGCAATTCAAACTTCTAGCAGGCAACCTGTTCCCAAAGGAGGGGGTTGCTGATGAGGTGGTGAGCTCTTCATCATAGGAAACATGCAAATGGAAACTGCATCTGCCATCTCTGCTCTCCCCCAGGGATGTAGGACTAGGTTTCTCCATCTCTGAGATTCGAAATCCCCCAAGATTAGGGACTCTGGGCCCTGCCCCCTCCGTTCTCTGAGGCTCTTGGGATACTTGCAGTCAGGCAGATGTAGGGTTGTGGCCTAGGTTCTTGTTAGCATCTCGTTTCCCTTTTCCAACCCTCAGTTTTCCCTTCTGTAAAATGGTGGCAGAAACACCTGTAGAAAAATTCAGGAGGGAGCTGGAAAGGGAGGAGCTGGGCTGACCGGCATTTTAACATGAGGGATGCTCTCCCAGGGTGACGCCAATCGCTCCTACTCGGACGACGACCAGAGCTCATCCAACATGGAGGAATTTGACAAGCTCCAGGAAGGCCTGGACAGCAGCGGAGGTAAACGGGCCCTCGCTTGTCACCTAGAGGGCCAAGATCCTTCCCCACAGATCCAGGTGGGCAGAGGGGACAGCGTCTGACTTCCCCTGAAGCCCAGGCTCAGGGACTGCTACTTTTCTATGGTTTGTTGTTTATGTTCATAATTGGAAAAAATGTGAAATCTCAAAAAGAGGTCAGTGACGTCCATGGACCCCTGGGATTCTAGGCACAGGGGTAGCCGCAGCCTACCGCATCCCTCCACACACCAGGGCCCCTTGGTTAGAGCCTCAGGGCCTTAGGTCGAGGCCCAGGTTCTGGTCTTGCCTGGCACTACCAGGCATCCTGGAACAAGCATCCCCCAACCCTAGCCCAGTGTCTTTCTCGGTAACCAGGGCGGACAGTCCCTGCCTTGTTTCCCATTGTGGGCATGGGAGTGAGGTGCCAGGCTGGTCCTGAGCACAGAAGGCAAGGGGTCCACACATACCTAAATAAAGTTGAGAGCCCTACAGGTGGGGCAGAGGGGAGGCACTGTGATGGGGTGCAACCAGGAAGACTTCCTGGTGGAGGAAGTCTCCTCAGAAAAGCTCTCCATTTCTGCTCCTTCCTTGTCTGTCTGTCTCGTGGCTCCCTTGCTCTTGTTCTGTCCTTCTGTCTGCCATCTGTCCCTCCCTCTGTCTCCATCTCACTCCTCCAGATCCCAAGCTCTTTCCAATCCCCATGACCCCCAATGGGCACCTGGACCCCAGTCTCCCGCTGGGTGGGCACCTAGGTCCTGCTGGGGCTGCGGGACCTGCCCCCCGACTCTCACTGCAGCCGGACCCTATGCTGGTGGCCCTGGGCTCCCGAAAGAGCAGCGTCATGTCTCTGGGGAGGATGAGCTATGATCAGCGCTCCCTGGTGAGTCCTTGTGGGGAGCTCTGGATGGGCACTTCCTGCTGGGGTACATGTGGAGGGGCCCTGAAGAGAGGTACCTGCCAGTCCAGCCTCAGACTCTGGTGCCCAGCCGAAGTCAGGCAGGGGCCATATCTGTTGCATTCCTGGGTGCCAGTGCCAGAGCGGGACCTGGCAATAAGGAATGAATGAATGCCTAGTGCCAGTGGGGTCTGGTGCAGAAAACTGGGTTTTCATCTCAGCAGCAATGTGTAGGGTAAAAAGAGCTGGGCTTTGAATCCAGCTTCTGCCACCTCCAAGCTGTGTGACAATGAGCAAATTACTGCCCTTCTCTGAGCCTCAGTTTCCTTACCTGTAAAATGGGAAGATGGCCCTAACTTGCTGTACCTTCCTCAAGGGAAGTGAGGTGGCAGAAGGGGATATAACCTCTAGGTGGACGTGCCCCCATGTCCTCATGGATGTGGATGGAGTGAGGTGGGACAGGGAGAGGAGTTCTAGGATCCATTCCGTCACCCGCTGGCCAGGCGAGTGACCCTCTTAGAGCCACAGTGGGGGTGCAGGCTGCCTTTGGGCACCTGGTGCCCCACCCATGGGTGTGCCTGTGGGGCGCTGACCCGAGCGGGAATTCCTCCCAGTCCAGCTCCCGGAGCTCCTACTACGGGCCGTGGGGCCGCAGCGGGGCCTGGGCCAGCCGCCGCTCCAGCTGGAATAGCCTCAAGCACAAGCCGCCGTCGGCCGAGCATGAGTCCCTGCTCTCCGCGGAGCGCGGCGGCGGCGCCCGGGTCTGCGAGGTTGCCGGAGACGAGGGACTGCCACGGCCCGCACCCCTGCACGCCCCTCACGCCCCGCACGCCCCGCACGCCCCGCACGCCCACCACGCTCATCACGGGCCCCATCTGGCACACCGCCACCGCCACCACCGCCGGACACTGTCCCTCGACACCAGAGACTCGGTGGACCTGGCCGAGCTGGTGCCCACCGTGGGCGCCCACCCCCGGGCCGCTTGGAGGGCGGCGGGCCCGGCCCCCGGGCATGAGGACTGCAATGGCAGGATGCCCAGCATCGCCAAGGACGTCTTCACCAAGATGGGTGACCGCCGGGATCGCGGGGAGGATGAGGAGGAGATCGACTACGTGAGTGGGGACGGGGCCGAAGGGGACCTGGTGCAGCGGGATAGGAAAGAAGGGGGTGCGGCCACAGGAGGCGGGGCCCCAGCGGGCGGGCCCACGGGGGGCGTGGCCGGGGCGTGGCCGGAGCGGCTAGGGCTTCAGGTACGAGGCAGGAGGAGCGGGGCCAGAACTGCCCACCCCTGAGCTGGGCCCGCTCCTGAGAGAGAAGCCCTCCCTGGCTGACCCCGGGGGGCAGAGAGTTCGGAGGTGACCCTGCGACCCCAGCTGGCGGGATGGCCGCATGGGCGGAGACCGGCAGCCCTGCGCATCGCTAACCCCCGGCGCTCCATCCTTCTTTTGCCAGACCCTGTGCTTCCGCGTCCGCAAGATGATCGACGTCTATAAGCCCGACTGGTGCGAGGTCCGCGAAGACTGGTCTGTCTACCTCTTCTCTCCCGAGAACAGGTGGGCGGGGCCAGGCCTGGGGTGAGGGTTAGAGTAGGGGTGATGTGGGAGGGACGGATCTCTGCTGAGCCAGGCAAGGCCATTGGTGGTGCTCTCCCAGACCACAGCGAATCCTCCTGGCCCAGAGGTGGAGGTCTCCAGGGAAGAGTGCAGCCTCCTGAGGGCTGCTGGGTGAAGATGGATTTGGGGAGGAGGATTGGCTGGAGGAGGTCAGGGAGGAGATAGCCTTGGCTTCCAAGATCCCTGGGGAGCAGGGGTCCCCTGGGCTAGGCGAGAACTTTAGGCAAGACAGATGTTGGTGGCCAGGCTCTCCTGGGCTCTCGTCTAGTCTAGGCCATCCCTGTGCTGGGCACCAGGTTGAACCATCCTCAAGTAGCCTGTATGGCTTGCATCTCAGGGGACATCAGAAGGCTTCCTGGAGGAGGAGGCCTTTGTGCTGGGCTGTGGAGGCAGGTGGCAATCCAGTAGGCACATCAGGGGCTGTGAAGAGGAGGAGGCTGGTGCAGGGGCAGGGAGCAGACTGAGGGAAGGCCTGGGGCAGAAGCAGAGGGTACCAGGCAACGTGGTATCCTCCTGAGAGGCTCAGGGATCTGGGCTAAGCCTTGAGTGCCAGGGCAAGGTGGGTGACCTCATGGTGTGCGTGTGTGGTCAGAAGAGGTGGCGCCAGGTGGGCACCCTGAGCAGGTGTAGAGTCAGCACCTGCTATGTGGCCAAAGGAGAGGATAAGGGTTGCTTCCTTGAGGCCAGCCTGGTCTGCACTTCTGCCTGGGCCCTCTGCCTTCCTTCTGGCCAGGGTGGGAGGCAGCTGACGCTCAGGCGGCCCCCACCCACCCTGCCCAGGTTCCGGGTCCTGTGTCAGACCATTATTGCCCACAAGCTCTTCGACTACGTTGTCCTGGCCTTCATCTTTCTCAACTGCATCACCATCGCCTTGGAGCGGCCTCAGATCGAGGCTGGCAGCACTGTGAGTGGCTGTAGCCTTGGGGCAGGGCAGGGGCCAGGCCAAGGGACAGCTTGCCAGGGCTGAGGGGGGGCAGGGAGACCTCCCACCATGGGGGAGGCGGGACAGGGAGTTTGCCCTTGGGGGAGGTGGAACTGGGAGTTTGCCTTTGGAGCGGGGAAAGCCTCTGTGAACTGAGAAGTGGCAGCCTCTTCTCTACGCACCTTGGCCAAAGCAGATGCTGGCCAGTGGCCAGGCAGCTCTGGGAGCCGCTGGGCCCATGGTATCTCCCGATGCTTTCAGGAACGCATCTTTCTCACCGTGTCCAACTACATCTTTACGGCCATCTTCGTGGGCGAGATGACACTGAAGGTAGCTCCTAGCTTCACCTGGGGCCCCTGACCCTGGGTCAGCCCCTGCCTCAGCTTGTCACTCGCCTGCCATCGGCCTCATTCCACTCGTAGCCCCATAGCCCACCCCTCTGGGTACCAGCCCCTGGGCTGGGCTTCCGCGACCCAGAAGGGGTCAGCCTTGTCCCCATTCACAGGAGTCACAACCCCGCCAGACAGACGGGTGCAGGGAACACTGAGTGTGATGGAGGCACCTGCTGAAGGTGTGGGGCGCAGGGGAAGCATCCCGTCTGGGGCGCTTTCCAGGGCGGGCAGTTTTGAATTGGATTTGCCAGAGGCACCGGGAACTTAACGGGGCGGCCTGCTAGGCCCTGACCCTGCCCCGTCCCCGCCCATCACCCACCCTCAGAGAGCGGCCTGAACCCTCCCCTTCCCTCCAAACCCGCCACTTGCAGGACCCCGCCCCCTCCCCCCGAAGCCGACATGGCCTCGCCCCGCCCCCTCGCGCAGAGCCCGGCTGGCCCCGCCCACCTACCCGCTCCTCCCGTGGCTGCCTGACCCCGACCCCACCCCTGTCCCAGGTGGTCTCGCTGGGCCTGTACTTCGGCGAGCAGGCGTACCTGCGCAGCAGCTGGAACGTGCTGGACGGCTTTCTTGTCTTCGTGTCCATCATCGACATCGTGGTGTCCCTGGCCTCGGCCGGGGGAGCCAAAATCCTGGGGGTCCTCCGAGTCTTGCGGCTCCTGCGCACCCTACGTCCCCTGCGGTGAGGAACCCTCCCTGGCGGATGGGGGAAGGTGTCATGCACTATGCAGAGAAGCCACGGGTCGGTGGAATTGGGCCCTCACTCCGCCCTCCCCTCCCACCCACTCGGTCCTCCAATAGTGAGTGCCAAGCACCCTGAGCTGTTCCCGGGGGAGGGGACTGCAGACCCTGGGGGTGGGGCATGCTGGAAGAGCAGGGCTGAAGCTGGACCCCAGTATTGCTGCCCACTCTGTGTGTCCCTGAGTGGCCCGTTGCCATCTCTGGGCATCAGTCCTAGACCAGGGTGTGGACCCGGAGGAGCTGGGCACAGTGAGGGGTGAGGGCAGGTGCCCTGCTGCTGCTGTAGATCTGAGGCCTGGGTGCAGCTTGCCTCCTGCTCTGCCAGTGTCTGGGTTGCCTGGCCGCTTTCTCTGCATTCCTGGCGACTGTCCTCATGCCCCAGGATGTTCAGCCCTGGTGAGCCCTGAGGGCTCATGCCCTGGGATGCTCAGCCCTGGTGACTCTGGGCTGAGTAGGGGCTGCCTCCTGGTCAAGGGATTATGTGTGCCTGGCCTCTCCCTGCCCTCAGTGTCATCAGCCGGGCGCCGGGCCTGAAGCTGGTGGTGGAGACACTCATCTCCTCCCTCAAGCCCATCGGCAACATCGTGCTCATCTGCTGTGCCTTCTTCATCATCTTTGGCATCCTAGGAGTTCAGGTGAGGGGTGCCCAGGCTGGGCAGGGACTGGGCTCTGTGACTGGGGAAAAGGAAGTCTCAGACAGCCAGGGGAGAGACTCCACATTCCAACCTCATGCGCCTTGCCCGCTGTGGGCTCCTCCTCCAGGGAGGGAGACAGACATGGGCCCAGATGACTGAGCACAAGACAGGCTGAGTAAATGCAATCGACAGGCGAGTTCCTCTCTGACTTGCAACCCTCACCCGTGAGAGCACCAACTTTGCCCCCTTTCCCCAGCTCTTCAAGGGCAAGTTCTACCACTGTCTGGGCGTGGACACACGCAACATCACCAACCGCTCGGACTGCATGGCCGCCAACTACCGCTGGGTCCATCACAAATACAACTTCGACAACCTGGGCCAGGTGAGCACCGCCCTCCTAGCCCTGATCAGACCCTCCCCTCTCTTGGATGCCAGTGGCTCTGGGAATCACAGACCTGGCTTCAGTCTTGCACTGCCAGGACTGACACTGACTTCTCCTCTCCAAGCCTCAGTTTCCTCTTCTGCAAAATGGGTAAGGGTAGCACTCACCTCTCAGGTGGGACGAGGCTTAGAGAGTCTGTGTGCAGAGTGCCCAGCAAACGCCTTCACTTAGTAGGTGCTTTGTGAACATTGGTTCTTGGCTCCCACCCCCGACCCAGGGGCCCCTGACAGGAGTTTGAGAATCAAGCAGTCCTGGAGGTGAATCCAGCTCTGCCACTTTCTGTAGGTGTGGCCTCCCTGAGCCTCAGTTTCCTCATCTATGAAATGGAAATGTTACAGCCTGCCAGGCAGGCTGCGGTCCCGGGGTGGTTCCCTCTCCTGTCACCCACCCACTGCTGTCTGCTCTGTCGACAGGCACACCCCTGCCTGGTGTCTGCTTTCCCCTTGGTTTCCTCTCCTGGGGGCCTGCCAGGCGTGACCCATCTGGGCAGTGCCCCAGGTGAGACCCCTTGGCTGGCTGCCTCCCCTTCCCTGCTCTCATTTCTCCAGGGCCTGCCCAGGAGGCCAGGTATGTCCACTCGCAGGCGTGCCTTGCCCCAGGGCACACAGGAAGGAGCAGGCTCCAGGCCCTCGTCCCCCGCTGGCTGATGGGCAGTCTCCAGCTAGATCCTCCTGGAGGGCTTGCCCCCCAGTGGCACCTCAGAGGGGAGCCACAAGGCCTTGGAGGGGCAGTGAGTGCCCAGGGAAAGGGTGTTGGGAACCGTGACAGTCACTACCCCTGCCCATCTGGGGAAAAGATGTCTTAGGAAGTTGAGGGGGAGCCCGCCAGAGGCCTTTTGTGCCCATGCTCCTGACCCCCTTCACCTATGGGCCCTGCCCCAGTGCCAGCCCCACCCCTTTGGAGCATTTCTGGGTCTACCTGGCACCAGGCTTTTCTGGAATCCCTCATGGGGTGTTCTCAGCACTCGGAGCCACCTGGAGGGTTCCGGCCTGGCCTGCAGCCTCTGACTCCTCAGTGGCCCTTACCAGCTGTGTGCCCTCAGACAAGTGCCAGACCCTCTGTTCCAGTGTCCTCATCTGTCAACAGGGACAGTGATGGCAGGTCCTTGGAATGCAGGAGCCTCCTGTGCCCTTGGCAGGGGGGCTTCCTCTGCCCTCCCTGCTCCTGGGTGTGAACACTTTCTGGACACCTTTGGCACCATTCCCACCTGGAAAGAGAAGAGGAGGGGTCTGTGATCTGGATGGTGGGAAGGAGGGGCCAGTGCGGGGCCAGAGACTCATTCCAGAACCGCATGTCCTGGCCCACAGTGGCAGGAGCACAGAGCGGGGTGTGACCGCCTCTGCCCTGGGGAGAGGGCTTCCTGAGTAGGATATGTGACCTCCGGGCAGTTTCTGGTGAAATGGGACCCTTTGTGAACCTACTAACTACTGGTGCAAGGATGGCACAGGAGGCTGTGCTCAAGTTCAGTTCAGAGAACCTTTACTGAGCACCTGCTGTATGCAAGGTTCTGTGCTGGGTGCCGGTGCTGCAGAACCAGATGTGACCTCACTGAAGGGACATGAGGATGCTGATCTGCCATCTCTGTGGGAGCCTTGGGTGGCTGTGTTCTGGGGACCACCTCCTTTTCAAAATTTTACAAACCAGGGAGAGGAATTATTGCCATTTTACCGATGAGGAAATGGGCCCAGAGACATCGAGGAACTTGCCTCAAATCACATAGCCAGTGAGTGGCACGGCCTGGGCTCTGACCCAGGGTTCCTGACGCCTCTTATGAGCTCCTGTTTTCAGATGCTAGGGCAAACGTGTCTTACCCCCTGGAGTAAGGATGGCAGGGACCGTCTGGTTGAGCCTGTTGGCCCTCCCAGCACACCTGCCAGAAAGGTATTTGTTAGCTCCATTCTGTGGGTGAGGGGACAGGAGTTCATGAATTTTTTTTGCCCAAGATCACACAGCTGGATGATTTCAGAGCTGAGACCAAAACCCAGGACTGTGGGTCCAGCACTTTTTCTTCTGTAACAGCAACTACAAGAGTATGTTGCAGGCACATAGTACGTCCTTAGGAAAGGTTTGTAGGATGAGGGCACAGCTCTGTCACATGGAGAAGACCTCTTTGTCCCTCTGTCTCCCAGGGGCAGAAGAATAGAGAGCTGAGGAAGGGTGGCTGCAGCTGGCATCACTCACACTCCTCACTCCTGCATTCCCCTTCCCCATGTCTCCCAGGCTCTGATGTCCCTCTTTGTCCTGGCATCCAAGGATGGTTGGGTGAACATCATGTACAATGGACTGGATGCTGTCGCTGTGGACCAGCAGGTGGGTGTAGCTGGGACCAGGTCAAGCCTTGATGCTGGGAGGGACATGGTGTCCTTGGGGCCCAGTGGTTTGAATTTGAAACTGGTACCAGCGAGACCCACAGCCCCAGTGTCTCCCCACTGTCAGCACAGCCCACCCCTCACATCCTGGCCTGAATCTTCACCATTAGAGCCACTCCTTGGGTAGCATAAATCATTGTTACATTTGCTTTGGCAAATCCCCCCTGCTCTGTGTGGAAAGGCATCTGAGCTGCTCCTGCCTGGAGGGGCACAGACCCTGGTGGGTAGAAAGCCAAGTGCAGGCAGAGAAGAGGGGCTGAGCCAGCTGGCAGAGGAACAGAGAGGGTGAGAGTGTGATGTGTTTAGGGAATTGGGAGTTGGGGGCTAGGAGTAGAAAATGAGAGGCAGGAGATGGGGAGAGGAGGCAGGTAGGGCTAGGTGGTCTGCAAGCCCCCGAGTGTGCAATGACAAGGGGCAAAAGTTTATTCTGAGGGCAGAGAGAATCAGTGAGGGGCTAACAGCAAGAGTGGTGTCCCTGCTTGTCAGGTCTGCTTGTCAGTGCAGCCTCCTGAGGGCTGCTGAGTGAAGATGGATTTGGGAGGGGGATTGGGTGGAGGAAGTCAGGGAAGAGACTCAGCCTTGGCTTCCGAGACCCCTGGGGAGCAGGGGTCCCTCTGGGTCTAGGTAGGGACTTTAGGCAAGATGTGTGGCTGACCAAGGTTGGCTGTGTTCAGACTGAGGGAGTCACTGGGAGAAGAAACAGAAAGATTCTCTAGCTCAAGACAGGGCCCACTCAGTGGTGGAGGCAGGGCTGTGTGCAACTCCCAGGTTGGTAATGGACCCCTGGCTCTTGGCCTCATGGGTCCCACCCAGTAAGACTCTGGAGCTGGATGTGGGGGTGGCGGTATTGGGTGGGAGGAATGAGAATGCTTGGCTGCATCTTCCTCTATTTCCTTGTCTGCTCTGTCTCCTCACCCCTGCCAGTGCACGCATGCACATGCATACATGGATTCCACCAAGGAATCTGTGCATCCAAGTTTTCCTCTCTGCTGGCCACCTTGTTTTCTGCCTTATTTCTGGATGGGTGAAAAAGTGGATGGATGGAGGTATCGATGGAGGGTTGGCTGGCTGGGTGGAGAATGTGGGTGTGGTGAATAGGTGATTGATGGATGGCTAGGTGGATGGATGGATGGTATGGTGGGATACGATGGGTGAGTGGATGAGGTGAGGTGAATGTGTGGCATGGTGTGGTGAGTGAGGTGTGGATGGATGGATGGGTAGGTCGATGGGTCGATGGATGCATGGGTGAGAGTGGGATGAATGGGTAGTGGGATGGTCGATGAGGGATTGGGTGGGCTGAATGGATGAATGAATGGGTGGATGGGTCAGATGGATGGGATGGTGGATGTATGGCTGGGTGGATGGATGGATGGGTGACGTGAGTGAATGAATGGGTGAGTGGATGGGGGATGGTGATGGATGGATGGATAGATTGATGGATGAGTGGGTGGATCGGCAATGGGGTGGATGCATGGATGGATGGGTGGGTGGATGAATAGTGGATGGGTCGGTTGGGTGGGTATAGGTGGGTAGATGGTTATGGAGTGCGGTAGGAGATGAAGCCTGCGGTTGGCTGGTGGCTGTTGTGGGCTGTGGTGTGCATTGGAGGGTGGTATTGCTATGGTATTTGGTATGTGTATGAGATGGTGGGTGGTATGTTTTTATTTTGGTGGGTGATTGGTGGGTTGGGATGGATGGGTGG